GTGAGTGTGAGGAGGTGGGAGGAGGGTGTGAGTGTGAGAGGAGGTAGGAGGAGGGGGTGAGTGTGAGATGAGGTAGGAGGTGGGGCGAGTGTGAGAGGAGGAGGGAGGAGGGGTGAGTGTGAGGAGAAGGGAGGAGGGAGAATAAAAGAGAAGTGTGGATGAGGAGGGAAGAGGTAGGCAGGAGAAGATGAGAAGAGGGAGGGGTGAAGGAGGGAGGGAGGAATAGGGAAGGTGAGGGAGGAGTATGAGGGCTGGGAGGAGGTTGGGGTGCAGGAAAGTGGCCTTGGGGAGCTGAGGCTGTGCTTCTCATGGCCCTGCAGTCTAGAGCCCAAGGCTGAGCCAGGGAGGCTCTGCTCCCCTACAGGGCTGTCCAGGGCTTTCCCAGTCTCTCTGGGGATAACAGGGCCTGGGATGGCCAAGGAAAGGTTGTCACTGAGGGAGAGGTCCTGGGAGGGCCTGCTCGCTTGCTCTGCTCTCCATACTGCTGCAGGGCAGTTTGGGGAAAGCCTGGCCTTGCAGAGCAGGCTCTTGTGAGGCCGCTGTCCCTAGCAGTGGCTGGAGGAAGGGGCTTTGCTAGTTCTCCTGAGGTGCCTGGGCCCCAGCTAGCAGGTGGAGGAGCTGGGCAGGAGGGAGCACTCCTGTGACTGCCTAGGCTCCAGGAAGAGGCTTTGGAGAGCGCCCACCCTTGCAAGCTGGGAAGGGCTTTGAAGTCACCCGTTGTCCTGTCAGGTGACTTATCTCCTTGCCTGTGCCCTGTAAAGAAGGGGGAGATGAGGAGGGATTGGGGGAGGACTGGAGCTTCCTTGAGAGAGGGTCTTCACCAGGACTCTATCTCACAATCTGGTATAGGCGGGCACCCCAGACTGCCTCTGAGTCGATCTGGCACAAACCTGATGCATGGCAGTGAGTCATGCCCTCGCCTTGTCTCCGAGTCTCCTTTCCCATAGTGCCACCACCACAGCCACCCTAAGGACACTTCAGATTTGCAGTGAGCAAAGTCCCTGCTCCTAGGAGGATGTGCAGGTGTGTGAGGTCAGGAGCACAGCTGGCTAGGGGGAGGAGCACACTGGGAGGAGCATGGCTGGCTAGGGGGAGGAGCACACTGGGAGGAGCAGGGCTGGCTAGGAGGAGGAGCACACTGGGAGGAGCATGGCTGGCTAGGGGAGGAGCACACTGGGATGGGTGACCATGGCTGCTGATGTGGCTCCCACACTCCCAGCCTGCTGACCGTGGGCTGCTCAGGTGTGCTTATCTTTCAGCCCAGACAGGGGTAACTGTTCTCTGGGGATGGAGCTGTGGAAGAGGCAAGAGCTCTCAGTTCCTTAAGAATAATCAGTCTAGGCGCTGTGCCATGAGCCTCGTCCCTCTGGTGCTGGAGTGCCACCTCCATCTGTTCTCCTGGAACTCCACACCTATGCTCCCAAGAGTGGCAATAAACTCGGTGCTTCCCAGGGCTGGAGGCGATGGTCCTCTCCGTGCCGCGAGAAGAAAAGGCACAGGTTGGAGAGATGGCTCAGTGGGCAAAGATACGTCCTTCTGGGCCTGATGAGCTGAGTTCAATCCTGGGGGACCGATCTACATGGTGGAAGGAGAGAACTGACTTCCACAAGGCCTCTTCCTCTGGTCTCCACGTTTGTGCTTTGCATCCCTCCCAGTAACTAAAAACGTAATTAAAAACTTTTTAAAAATTGTCATCTGCTTCCTTTATAATTGCCGAAAAGCCTGCCTTTCATTGAGGTTAGGACAAGTTTCCTTATACAGGCCTGAATCCTGATATCTAAGGACCCATGTGCAGTACAGTTTTAGGTAGCCTGTGTGTATTAATACACTACGACATCTAATTCTTCCACAGGGAAGAGCATCAACCATTCATCCCCACACCAACAAGTACTGCTTGGATATCCTTTGCCAGTTCAAGGTGTCTCACACCTGCCATATAGGGAGAGAATGTTAAACTGGGTGACTTCTGCTCCTGTATATATACTTTAAAGAGAAATGTATCTTGTACGAAATAAATGAACCTCTCCTCTACATGCTATCGAAGCTATTTTTTTTACTTTTATTTTTCAGACTTTCCAGGCTAGCGCAGAAATCCTGCCTTTATTTGAACTATTGTTTTTATTACAAAAGGTGTTATAGCTTCCAAAAAGCCAAATTAAACATTTTGAGAACACCGACCACAGCTGATAGAAGTCAGTCATTGGTTTGCTGACAATAAATATGTAAATAGTTAATGAAGGTTCCTTCCTACAAGTTTCTCCTGTGAGCGCAGGGCCCAGGTAGGGTGTACTAGAAAATGCGCACACATGGCTCATGAGACGGCTCACCTGTAAGGGCCCTGATGCCAAGACTCACTTCACTGCCTGAGTTCAAGCCCTGGACCCACCACAGGAGAAAACTGACTCCTCAAGTTGTCCTCCAGCATCCACACGAATGCCACAGCGTGAGTGCCGACATACATGCATAAATAAATAGAAAAATGTGATAAAACAAAGAAAACATACCAAACGTGAAAGCAGATGGACAAACATTCTAAAATTCTTGCTCGTGATTAAGAACTTTAAAAAAATGGACCCCTGGGGAAAGTAACACACCGGGACCTATGGTAGAACTCTAAGACAACATGTCCTAGGAACTCTCCTTTGAAACCACAGGCTGCAGACCTGGGCCAGGCTGTGCCGTACGTCCACAGCTTGCAAGATTCAGAGATAGCTGAGTGGCTTCGTCAAGACTCCCTGGAGTCTAGTGAGATCTGCATGAGATAAAGGCGGGCACACGCTCAGGTTCAAGGTCTATGTGGGCTGATGTGGCTCTGGATAGACTGCCTTTGCGAGCAAGGGACTAGTTAACACACCCAAACCCCACTCTTCTGCACCCTTTGGACAAGGCAGGGGACCTGCAGCAGTGCTGTCTGATGGCAATGGGTGGACAGCAACTACAATGAGCAGCTGGCCTGGGAAGGGGCCAGAGCGATCTACCACACCACAAATGCTGTGCTAATTCCAGGACCCGCATTCCACCATCCTCATTTCATTTAGATCCCCCAGCTCCTGAGAAAGGAAGTGGATTACTGAGACGTGTCCTTTTATTTTCCCATCTGTATCAACAGGAGCATCCTGCCATAGGTCTTAGTGAGGATGGGGTTCCAGAGCTGTTGGAGGGCCCTGCAGGCTAGAAGGGTTGGGCCATGGTGGGATCCCAACAGGTCAGATGACCCAGCACCAAGAACACAGCAAAGGAAGCCATTACTGGAGTGCTGGCAGCAGGTGAAGGCCAGGGGAGGGAGGGGCTCCAGGGCTACACTTTAAAGGGTGGTCAGCAAGCTGATAGAGAGCCAGGCGGTTTGAGGGTGACCTGTAGAACAGGGTATTGAGTGAAGTTGGGGGACAGATTATGCCTTGGAGGTCTCCCTGCCTCGGCTACTCCCTGCCTCTAGTTGGGTGAAGAGGACACTAGCCCCTAATCCCAGCTGCTTCCAGGAGCCCAGTCTGGGAAGGTCTAGAAGATGCAGTCAACAAAGGCAAGGGACATGCATGTCCAACTGAGAGGAGGAGCCCTGTGCCTGCTGATGTTTGACACTCATAGATGCACGTGTATGGATGTAGATGCATACAGATACACTCAAAAAACCATCCTGTCCCCAGCCCCGTCACAAGCATATATACACACACAGTTACACACATCAACACATACAGACCTTCTCAGTCATGCAGACATGCCGAGATACAGACAACCACACACATACACACCTCTTCTCCGCTCCTCGTCCTGCACCTGACTTCATCTATACTCTGCTCCCAATGGATTGGCTGGGGAATGTGATGCTGTGGACATTTCAGAGCTGACCCTGAGCCTTGCCAGGACTCCGATCTTGAGTAAAAGTACACAGTGAAGCACACTTGAAGAAAGGTGTGTAGTGAACAATCATGTTTAGTGTTTATAGAACAGACTCGTTCTTTACTGTTCAGTTCATTATGAACTGGAATCTCATTTAAGCCCCATAAGCCAACCCTGGCCTCAAGCAGCAGCATCCTTGAGGGGCCAACTATGCCCTGTGCATGTCACAAAGCCTCCAGTCTGAGCTATAAGCTGCAATAGCAGCCATGGCAGAGACAGGAAGGAAGACATGACTGTGAGCTCTACAAGATCCAAGGGTCTGTACTCTGGGTTCTGTCCTGGGCATGGGCAGCCTGCGGGTGACACTGCAGAGCGCAGAGCTTCCTGAAGGCCCAGGTTGTGGGGCAGCAGGGCAGCTTCTGGAGGAGCACAGTGCTATCTCCCACAGTGTGTGCACCCACACCAGCACCTCCTCCAAGCAGTGAGTCGGCCAGCACAGTGACAGCTGAGGTCAGGGGACACAGCACAGCTGTGGCTTCCCTGAAAAGGTTCCTACGGTGAGTAAGCCTGGTCCATCGCACACAGTTCCTTTCTGAGCAAGGGCCCAGGCTTTGGGAGGATGTCCCTAGAGCTTGCTGTTCTTCTGGAACTGGGCCACTAGGCTGAGGACCTGCTCAGAGGCTTTGATGCTCTTGGAGCCCAGGTAGGTGATTCTGTTGGTGCCCGTCTCCTCCAGGTAGTAGCGATAGTTGACCATGAGGCCACAGGAGCTAGTGAGGCCTTTCAGGCTGCTGTCAGCCATCCAGTTGATACGCCACATCACGGCCCCATTCTGCAGATGGAAGTTGGCCACTGGGTTGAGGGCGTAGCCTCGGTGCTTCTCACCATACAGGTACCAGGCACACAACCTCATCAGCGGCCCCTGCAGTGCCTGCACCAGTTTCTCTGACTTCACCCACTCACCACTGCTCAGGAAGCCCTTGAGGCTCTCGTGAACCGGGTCACCTGTGACCTCTGAGATTTCTTTGCACTCTGAGTCTGTGAATAGCTCGTTCCTCCCATGTTCCTTTCCCTGCACATTCAGGAGACCAAGAAGCCACTTGGTGAATCCAGGTATAGGCGACAGGCTTGAGAAGGCCCCCAAGTGAGGAAACTCCTTCTGCACAGCAGGTAGGAAAAGGGAAGGCAGAGAGCACATGGTCAGCAGGGGGTACACATACTGGAACAGTCCCCACACACAGCCTACGTGTGCTGCAGCCGGCAGCAGGGTCAGCTGACGGCATAGCTGTACTTTCTTTCAAGACGTGTCCACGAGGACGCTGATGAGTGCCAAGGCCTGGAGGCATCTTGCGTTCCTAAGATTAGCCTATAATCATGATATCTCCTGTCACACCACTGACAGTGGTGAAACAGAGGTCAGGAGTGGGCAGCTTGCTTACAAGCAGAGAGCTGGCCCTAATAATGGGCTGTGGGCTTTACTTTCTCTGCACCACACCTCTCCTAGGAGAGCCAGGATACTTGATTGACATACAGATGCCATGTTGGGTGACTGTCCAGCCAGCTCTACCTCAGTGGTGGCAGAGGGAAAGCAGGGTCAGGTAAAGATGTATTACCACAGGACACAGCTTTGTCACCACCATACGAATCACACAGAGATCTTGCGGACAGTCTTAAACATACGCGCTCCCTGCTATAAACATAGTAAGCCCACTATGGGAAAATTCCACTGCTGTGAAGACACAGCTCTGAGTCCAGCATGTCGGGTGCCTTTGGCCTTCTCTGCGCTCTTCCACAGCTGGGACTATCTTACACTCCGTATGTGAGTTTACACTGTGCACATGCTCTACTTATCAATTTAGAAAAACAGCCCAGGATTGAAAGATCAGTCAGCGGGTTCCCGTACTCTTCTCATGAGCACTGGCGCTCTCAAGTGTGCTGCCTCTGTAACCCCAGTGAGCCCGTCGGGGCCAGCATTCAGGAGAGGACAGGAGGCTCCTCAGTCAAGCTTCTAGCTCTGCCAATGAAATGGTCTTGGGCGGATCACCCAGAATCCTCGATCCTGTTCTCTCCCTGTCTTCCTTGTCCTCTTGAGTCTCCTCTCCCTGAATCACTTGTTAACACCTTCAGCAGACAACAGGAGATTTGCTTTCACTACCTCTGAGGGATGGAGGTAGATTGATAATAAAGCAAATTGCCAAACACGAAATTATCTAAATCTGATTCCTCTCAGGAATGTTGGTGCGAGTCTGTCATCCTAGCTATGCGGGAGCTGAGACAGGAGGGTCATGAGTTCAAGTCCAGCACAAAAAACTTTGAGATACTCTGTCTCAAAATAAGTGTAACAATGGGCGGATGGGGGCAGAGGGCTGTGACTGTAGCTCAGTGATAGGCTGCTTGCCTTACATGAGCAAACCGCATTACTAGCGCAAGGCGGTGCCCAGCATGGGAGTGCCTCGACTGCAACCGGCTCTGCTGTGAGGGCAGCCCTGTGAGTCTGCACTGCATGCTGTGCCTGGGCAGAAGAGGGAGGGAGCAGGAAGCAGCCCATGCAGTCTCTGTCAGCAGCTCAGAGGTAGACTCTCCTCACTTGGGCCACCTAGCTCCCCACAGGCAGCCAGAAAAGCTGGGCCCAGGAGAAACTGCAGCATTGTTGTCTCAGGGACAGGTAATGTGTCCCTCCGGGGCAGCAAAGTCAAGGAAATCAGGCCAACATCAGCTAATGCATTTGCCTTCATACTGCTCGGCCTGACCTGCGAATTTCCCTCACAAGGCCCTGAAGGCTGCAGGGAGGAAGTGTCTGGTATGGCATGGTGGGGGAGGGTTGCCAACCGTATTATAAGGGCTGGCCACGCTGACATACGTGACTGATGTGTGCCACCAGGAGTGCAGGGCAAAACAGGCAAGGTCTCTCCAGATAGCTCACGTCCTTGTGACCATACACACACACGTGTGCTGCACAGCCAGTGCAATGCTATTCCTCAGATGCCTGCTCCTTCGGTTCCTAGCCTGGCCTGGTGGCACCTGATGCTGTTCTGCCTCCTTTCCTTCCTCCCAACCCTTCCTATCTGGATCCTGTATCCCCAGAGAGGTGGCAGGGCTCACCTGCCATGACAACAGAGACTCTTGGAGCTGGGGCGCTGCTTCACCATGCTTACCTGCAGCTCCTTGACCACTCGCTTTATGAGGAAGGTCCCGAGCTCCACCCCCTGCAGGCCCTGCTGGGTCAGGCTGATGGAGTAGAAGACAGCAGCAGAGATCCTGTTCCTCTCCTCCGTTTCAGATGGAGGGTCCTCCTTCACGATGCCCTGGAAAACACGGGCAGCACGCCTCAGAAGGGCGCCATGTGCGCTGCTCACACTGTCACTACTCACAGGACAAAGGAAGCAGAAGTGCTGGCGGAGACTTTAGTCTACATCCCCACTCCCAGGTTCTGTTGGCTCAGGTCATCTGTTTTGAAAACTCTGGAGGAGACAATTTCACACCGCCCTGCCCACCACTTGGAGACCTGTGCCAGCTCTGCTTCCCAGGCCCCTCTGGAACAAGCTGCTTCACATGCTGTGTGAAGGGCAATGTGTTGGGGGCAATGGGCCACACATGGAGATTTCTTTCAATCCTCTGCCCAGAGCTGCCTCTGCTCCCCTGCTCAGTTTGTACTTCTGTTCCTCACAAGGCCACTGGCAATCGGGGTAAGATGTGCCCTTTAGAGGACTGCCTATGCATTCTTATTTTTCCTAAGTAAAATACATTCACACAGACACTTCCACAAAGCAAGCTAAGAAATCACTTCTGCTGTGAAGTCTCTTAGCTGACACCAGACTTCACTGGCTCTCACTGCCTACTAAATGTGGGGAGTTTTGCTCTATTTTGTGACAGGGTCTCCCTGTGTAGCTCTATAGCCCTGGACCTCACTGTGTAGACCAGGCTGGCCTTGAACTCACAGAGCTCAATTTTCAGATAAGAAGGAATATATTCTGAACTTTAACACACATACCAAGCTGCCCCAGAGAAGCACCAGCAACACTAGTTCCCAAACCAGCTCGAAGGTGTGGAACTTTGAAGGACATTGTCTCTGTTCATTAAGAACATGAGCCCATCTGTCTGATGCTCAGCATCTGAGCTCCCCAGCTGGGAAGCCGAGGCCAGGGACTCTAACTCACCATGCTTCATGATCCATGTACCTCCGTAATGCCTATCCAGACCTCGGAGCCCTCTCCACATCTTCTAGCTCTGAACAAACCTGCTCTCCGCAGGGAACTCACTGCTTTCATCTGCCCGCAGGTCTTACCGTGTGGCTGTGACCCACTCTCCCCAGTGTCACAGGCTTGTCCATACCTTCCTACTAGAAGCCTGCAGAGGACCAGCTTCCACAGGAAGGGCAAGTGAAGCCCTCACAATTTCAGCTCCCCGACAGCTCCCAGTTTGCAGCAGCAACAGAACCACGCCCATCTGTCTGTCAAGCTGCCTCCCAAATGCCACAGCACACTGCTCTGCACTTCTCTGCCATTCCACAGGGTCCTGTTAACAGACTCAAGCTCTTGGTGTGGGAGGTCCTTCTGTATGTGTGCTGCTTTTAATGATTAAAAAATAAAGAAGCTGCTTTCAGCCAATGGCTTAACAGAATATAGCCAGGCTGGAAAAGATATATAGAGAGAGCAGGCCAGTTGAGTGTGATAGCAAAAACCTTTAATCCCAACACTTGGTAGGCAGAGGCAGGCGGATCTCTGTGAGTTCAAGGACAACCTGGTCTACAGAGTGAGTGCCAGGACAGCCAAAGATACACAGAGAAACCTAGTCTCAAACAAACAAACAAAATCAAAAAGTAAAAGTAAAAGAAATAGAGTTTAAAATAAAGCCACATAAAGATGGAAAATACACAGAGAGTATGGATAATGTATGTTGTAGTGTTGTCTTTGAATTGTTTGACAGCTGAGAAAGGAACAATAGCTGCTAAAAGACATTTGATTACAAATGCTGCTGGATTAATACAACATATATATTTTGAAATGGCTTGACTTCAAAATTTAACAAGAATTATGGATTAATGTAATTTATAAGAATTAATAAGAAGCCTGAGCTAATAGGCCAACCATTTACAGTTAATGTAGACCTCTGTGTGTTTCTTTGGGGCTGAACAGGCTATGGGATCAGGCAGGAGAAAAACTATAGTCAACACAGGCAGAATCAGAAAAAAGCCAAGGAGTCACCAGAGGAGAAAGATGCTAGATAGCAATATGCATAAGTGGTTGGCCAAGCAGTAATTTAAATAATATAGTTTTTGTGTGATTATTTTGGGAGTCTGGGTGGCCGGGAAA